TTACCAGATAAAACAACAAGATCGGTTGTATCAAGTCCAAGAGCAGAGAATTTGGAAGTGATAGCAGAAAGGCCTTCAGTAGAAGAAGGAAGAGAGCTGGTAACATCTCCGGGACTAGTTGTTCTGCTGTCTCTTCTTCCCAGCTGCACTTGCCATGATGGTCCTCCATCCTGCAAATCTCATAATTTAATTATCTCTATTAATAATTAATTAAAATTTTTTATTATATATATAGTAATTAGTTAATCAAATTACCAAAACGACCGAAACTTCGGATGCAATAGCCAAAATATCAGCACAAGAAACGACGCCAGGACAAACATTCTCTACCGCAGTTTTAATGGCATCGACAACTTCGAATCCAACTAATGAGTTCGAGTTTGGAAATACATTTTTCTCGGTCACTATGCCGTCTGCAGGTGAACTATCAAGTAGAACTGATCCGTCACACCCCTGTATGAAAATACATGTATTAGTGAGATATGTACATATGTATACATATATATCAATCGGTCAATAGACAAGTAGCTAGAATATGTGCCATATACATAGGGATCTACATGTATTCTGATATATAAGCATATTTTGGAACTTAGAGAAGAGAGATATGTAAATTACTTGAACGAAGCAATCGTGAAAGTGAAGTCGAACAAGTTTAGCGCCAGTTCGAACATTACTCTGTCGAGCTTGTTGAATGACTCCGCGTATAATACTCGTCACATTAGGGCAACTCGTGTCGTAAAAAGTAGAACTAAGCTGAGCATGAGTGGATGCTACAAGCAATGTCAAAGAAACAAGAAGGTACAAAATTTTTCTAATTGGAAACCTAGACATGGCGACTAAATAAGCTCTTTTTCAAATTATGAGCTTAATTTAAGTAGCTTTTTTTAAGCTAAAATGCTGAGTGATGTAATTTGTGATGGGATAATAGAATGGAATTTGAACTCTTTATATAGAGGAGAGATTTGAAAGTGACAAGATGTTAGGAGGCTTGTGCTTGGCATGCTAAGTATCATGCATGTATATATATATATATATATATATATATATATATACATATATGTATGTATGTATATGTGTATAGATCATGCAGTGCCGAGAAATTTCTTCCTTTTACTTTTCTTCTAAACGAATGGAGGTAATGAAATTCAACAATGGGGGATAGAATTTTTCTCCCATCAAGTGATGGATTTTTCTCAATTATTTAATGGGTTTCCTTAATCCTCGATGTTACTTAATAATTAATTAACTAATTAATTAATTTTAAGAAGTTCCTTGAGTGCTTTCGGCTTGAGTAATGATGTAATTTTATGGAGTTGAGTTTGAATGTGTATATGTATGTATATATGTATGTATAGATGTATGTATCGTATTATAACTGGAGTAAGAATTATAATTCCAAATTTAATCCTATTTAATTATTTGCAGCTCTAATTATAATTAGCTAGCTTGACTTAGAAAAAAATATATAGTTGGATAAAGATGAAGTCACATATTCTTTGGGAAAATACCAAACCGTTAGATAAAGATGAAGTCACAAATTCTTTGGGAAAATGTCAAACCAATTATTGTACATCTTGATGTATATATATCTATATATATATATATATATATATTTTCTCAAATATTCACGCTTGTAAATTTTTACTAATGTTTGAAATTAAATAAAATTTATATATAAAAAAATTTATAATGTAAATTTTTTTTACAAAAATAATAAATAAAAGATCAGATATGATATTTAAAGTGATAGCAGAAAGAAAAAAAAGGAAATAAGAAGAAAGACTAAGAACGAAAGTAGATAGCAATCGGTGAAAAACCTTAGTAGGGTTTCTTTTTTTCTTTCTCTCGAATCTTCTATTTTTCGTAAAAAGTAAATAAAGCTTATATATAGGTAGAAAAAAGACAGATATATGTCTTATATGCATGCTGTTATTTTTCATAACCCTAGAAAAACTTCTGCATACATACATACATACATATATATATATATATATATGTATCTCTACGGTCCACATGATTCTTTGTAGAAATTTGCATTCCATTTAACGAGAATTCCTTTTAAGTCGGTCTGATTTTGACGTATAAACTTAAATTGAATATATTATTATTTAAAGTTTGTTTGAATGCATAGTATTGTATGTAACGACCGATTATGATAATAATAAAATTATATTATGTTTGAAAAAATTGTGTATTAATATTCGATAATAACATATATTTTATATTATATTATAATTAGTATATATATATGATATATTTCCTCACCTTCAGCCTTAAACAAGAAGAGATTAATCAACGTTTATTTTTGGTTTAGTAATAACTTTGAAAACTAAATAACAAAATTGAGTACAGAGAGTAGAAATTTACATGAACAGACAAAATTCATCTATGCGCATTCTACTCCACAGATAAAGGAATCAAATCCAAGCAGTATGATGTGTGTGAATATATATATATATATGTATGTATAGACATGTATATACAAATCTATAATAGAAGATTAATAAAATCTATATATTCAGATATTCAAATACATATAGTAGAAAATAAAGTATTTGTTGTCTGTATAATTCAAATTAAAGGGTGAATTTCTTGAACTACTATACATACATATATATATATATATATTTCTATTACAATCAATATCTCAAAATTCTTTTTATTATAATTTAAATCTTTTCTATTTTTACACATTATTTTGATATTAATGAATTTTGAGAGTTACAAGAATTAAAAATTAATATATTTTTTTCTTAAATTCTTTGGCTTTATTATCCTAAAAATAAATATTATATTCTTAATTCATTTTTTAAATATTATTCATGTAATATATATAAATATTATGCTAATTTTATAACAAATTTAATTTTAATTAAATTCACATAAACTCTTTATTTCTAAACACTAATGTTATTTTTAATCTTCATACACACATATAAATATAAACATAGTATACAAATACAAATTAAAAAAAATATATATATATTTTATAAGAACATATAGTCTGAGTTAAAATATGAATAATATTAATTTTTTTTTTTTAATTTTTGAAGCAAGTAGGAAATTCTATACATATTATTTTATATGTAGGTGAAATAAACAATGGAATTTGGGTGAAGTGCTTTCAATTATTGAGCTGTTCTCTGGCAGCCAGGCAAAAAGAAGAAATTTCTTGACTTTCTGTGTTTATGATTAATACATTTCATTATTATATTATTAAAATATTATCTTAATTACGAATTCGAATCTTATTTAAAATGTAAAATTCATAATTTTGTGGATGTTTTATAAATTGAAAGTGGTCAATCTGTAATATTTTATTCAACAAGACTGAGAACTGAGATTGCAGTGACTTAACTGACGTATTCGGACGAAAATAACATATTGGAGTCGTTATATTTTTTTAATTAAGATAATTACAGTGAAACGAAACTTATTTAAAAATTACGAGTTCAAATTCTATTAAAGATGTAAAAAACTTCATCCGGCTCATATATATGTAGATGTAGCTAGTTCCTTTTGCTCAGTTGATTGCATATTAATCAATTGTATGTTTATATATATATATATATGTAGCACTTTGGGTTGAATACCAAATTAAATTTGATTACTTAATGAAATTGGAATTTTCCCATGTAGATGTAAAAAGCACAAGTAGACTAAAAAAGCAGCTTATTCATGACTTTTGTCAATGGTGGGACACAAATGTAGCATATAAGCCAAGATGAATATTTTGCCCTTTTGCTCCCTTTTTTCCACTTCCCCCAACCAGAAGAAGTCTTCTTCCTCATATAATACTTCAATATATATATATATATATATATATATATATATATATATATTTTGAGTCATATATAACTTGTATCTTCTGTTGACCCAAAAGGTGTTGTCCCTTAAAAGATTTTAACTTATACATGTAGGAAGTCTAGTTGACACTCTATATATATATATATGGAAAGCTGTAAGCGTGTTGAATCTTTTATGCCTATTCAAATATAATGTAATTATCAATAGTATATGACTTTATAGATGTTTATTATTCCTTTCGGATTAGACCAATCTAGTTTAGTTTGAATTAGATAAAATCGATAGAGATATGGTATGATTCTCAATTCAAGAAATTAAAAGTTTCTTGAAAGCAGATTATACTGATCTGTATCGGTATCAACTAGTTAGTTTAAAGAAATTTTTTATTGATTGCTGGTTTTGAAATAAAAAAAAAAAACCGAAACAATTATAATATAATCTTTTAAAATCATATCTGAGTTATTACATATAAATTAAATTTATATGTTATCTAGATCCTCCACTCTGCAAAACATATTTATTAGATTGTTTATCATTCGCAACAAACTAAATATATATAAGTGTGCATATACATGTATGGATATCCATATATAAGTTATACATATTGTTATTTAGATCTATTATAATAACTCGGCCCGAGAGAACAAATTCAACTCACATGCTTCTTAGAAGCAGGAAAAGCTAAAATGACGTCGTTTTGGAAACCCCTAAAACGACATTGTTTTGATATGAAAAAGGAAAAAAATAGAAAGAGGTGAAAATGACGCCGTTTTGATGATGGAAAAAGAAAAAAAAAATAGGGCAACCAGGGGCGTGTACGCCCCTACCCGCCGAAAAAGATGAAGAATAAGCCTGGACTTGCAAGCTGAAGAAGAAGGAAGAAGAGGCGTGCAGGGCTTCCCTTCTCCACCCACAAAAGGGCTTTAACTCGTTTTGTGGGAAGGAGATCCCGTGCGTGAGGAGAGAGAGAGAGAGAGATCCACACATAGAGAGAGAAAGAGGGTCATGAAGAGAGAGAGAGAGGGAATAGACCAAACGAGTGACGAGGTAGGTTTGGTGCGTCTGGCGTGCGAGCAGTCAAGAGGCCCAAAACCAGTGTGCCAAAAAAGGAGAACACATGACGGTGTGCTCAGAGAGGAAGGGAATCGCAACAATGACTAGGCACGGTTTCACGCACCCGCACTCTTCTTCGGCGTGATTCCGCCATATTCGGGCCGGATTTGTATGTGCGGCTCGTTTTATGATGGGTTCCGGTTGAATCAAGGGCGGTGTGTGGGTTTGTCTAAGTGGCACGTGTTTGTTCTGGCGGCGGCGAATGTGGCGACTATGACACTCGATGATGGCGCATGGTGAACTAAGGACACGTGTATGGTGATGTGTGGCGATTCTTGTGACGGGGTCGTACTACGGTAAAGCTCAATCCCCCTTTTTATATTCTAATTATTTTTATAAGTATCCATCATTAACCCACATATTTTCTGTTTGTAAATAAGAGAAGTATCTAAACAATATCGAATTTAGAGGAGAGCGTAGACCAAAGCCAATAATGATTCCGATACTTTTCAGTTCAACTATATGTAAGGGATTGAGTTAGTCTCATTCAGAAGCCCCCATGTTTTTATAAAATCTTGTTTTTTGTTGAAATGACTTGTTTACAGAATTTACCAACTGTTCATGTTTTTCACCAAGAGTTCTGCAAACTTATTATATTTGCATGTGTGAAATTGCATATGATTGGAAACCTACGTAATATTGTGTATGACATATAATTATGTATTCATATTGTTACTTGTATGTATATGTAGATCTTATGCATGTTATGAGTTATAGGTGAGTGTGACGCATATATATATATATATATATATATAATTGTAGGTTGTACAATGTATGCATGTATGAGTGAACAACTTGTATGTGTTTGCTTATAGAATACATATGTCTTGTGTAAATATAAAAGTATATTTATGTTATATATGTTGTGTGTTTATATATACTTAATTGAATAGATAACTGTGCACATAAAAGGTATATATTGTGCTTATTGTGTATGCTTATTGATGTATAATATATATATATATATATATATATATATGATATATAAGTAGGTACATATCTGAGTAGGTTATCTAGTGGCGAACCTGATTAGTAAAAAAATAACATAAGAATCTTTAAAAGACGAAAAAATCTATTTAACTAGTATCACCGAGGGGTGGGTGTATGTGTAGTTTTTTAGCTATGACTACTATGTTGAACCCTAACCGTGGATATAGTTTTAGCCAGACATGGTGAAACAATAAGAACTGTGAACTGAATACTATGTACTGCAAATTATAAATTGTGAACTAAATTATAACGTGTTCACGTGATATAGATGATCTTTACTACTCTCGTTTATACCGGCAGAAATGACATCGCGCGGTGAAACTATTTTTAATAAGATATAAACTGATAGGAAGGAATAGAAAGTCATGGATAAAGTTTACGATACTGAAATATTAAACTAATATCTATTGAACTACTTACTGTTTAAATTGTAATATTGAATACTGAATTGTACTATTTATGTAACTGTTGATGACCTGAGTTATAATACTGAAATAAGAAATTATGAACATTTGCTGAATAAATTGATTTAGAAGATTTGATAATTGAGTGTGTGCATATATTTGTTACTGCACTGTCCATTTTTCTTATTGAGTTCGTGAAACTTACTCTAATTTACATCCTCAATGCAGATTAGTGCATGTTAAAAACAAGTCTAAGGTTGAAAGAAAATTTTAAAGAATATTTAGTGACAATAAGAGTTTGTGTTGTCAAGTCAGTTTAATTATATTATAACGATGTAATGTAAAGTATTTTATAACCCTTATGACTTGTAATTCCGTATAAGAGATGATTGAATATTAAGTTTTCATTCACTACTGCATAAATTTATTAGGTTATGTGTGTGGAATAGTGCTCATTTCTCAACGGAGAAAATAAGTCGTTATATATATATAAACACGAAAATTCAATAGTTAAAATCTTTTTATTCTACTTGAATATTATTAAGATTTAACTCTTCGTGAATATCTTATATAATAATAGTATCACACATATAATATTTAATTCAATAAAATTAAAAATTTACTGATTATTATATTTTTAAAAGTAATCTTATATGATAATAGCTTAAGATGAGTTATATAAAGATATTCTATACACTTACCCGCATATCTCTTAATCTCGTGTTTTTTTTTTTCAAATTTCAGCATTGGAGTGTCCTCCGAAATAAAATACCGATAATCGTAGCTCATGATCTCGTAGGCTTATAATATGGGAACTATCTTAGCTATCAACTAAACCTAGATAAAGCTTAGAGGATATAAACATATAAAAAGCTGTATGTAACATATATATACATATATATATATATATATACATATGACTAATGATGAAGTGAACTTACTAAAGAGGACAAAGTCTCTGGGAGCTAATGCAAGTAAATCAGCACAAGAAACAATTTCCAGAACTCATTTTCCAGAGCAGCTTCTATGGAATCTATAACTTCAAATCCTTTTGCTGAGTTCACGTTTCAAAAGACAAATTTCTCTTCGTCACGTTAAAAATAATTAATTAAATATTATATATGTGTATACATATATATATATATATATATTCTGGTATGTTATACATATACATGAGAAGCATTTGCCGCAGAAGCTCCATTTATGAGAGCTTTTGCCATGTGAATTGTATCCCATTTGCAGCAACTTATTTGGATGCATGCGGTGTACTCCATTAATTATGCATGTGTGTATATATACGTACATATATATATATATATATATTTATATGATTATCACGTATATATTTAATAAGATAAATTGTTAAACATTTTATAGCATATATATATATATTATTTTACTATATAAGGCTTTTGTTAGCTTAAATCACCTGAGTCGGGCCGTGAATTGGGCCGTCTTTGGGCCTAATATACCAAAATGGGCCGAGTACTAATATTTGGCCCAATCGGTTCTAGCTATGAATCCCCAAAAATAAACAGATCTGGTTTCAACCAATCCTAGGAATCCACGTGTCTGAAGAAGGAAGATTCCACGTGTACTAATACATTTATCACCTGAGTTGGGCCGCGAGTTGGGCTGTATTTATGCTAAGTTGGGCCGTGTTTGAGCTGAGTTGGGGCCGTGGGTTTGGCCGTGTTTGGGCTGATATACGTGTGGGCCGAGAACTAATATTTGGCCCAATTCGGTACTAGGTATGAATCCAGTATACCCAAAATAACTAGAATCTGGTTTCAACCAATCCTAGGCATCCACGTGTCTGAACAGGACGATTCCACGTGTACTAATACACAGATATGGGAGTTTCGCCAATAACTGCCCCTATACCACACACAAAACAGCATTTCGATTTAACAGAAATTGAAAATGAATAAATATATCGACAGGAGCAAAACTAAAAATCACTCTCACAGTCGTCTTCTTCTTCTTCAAAAATGGCGCTTGAATTCCACTATGCAAACACGTTATCACTCCGTTTAATTCCAAAATCGCCATTACTGAATTCAGGAACCTTTGCTTTTAGACATCAAAAGCTACGGAAAAAATCTTTTCGAAGTCGGAAAAATCTCCATGTTCATCGCTCGTCTCTAGTCGGTGAGCAGCAGAAGGTTTCATTCACGGAACCTGAAACTCAGCTCATTGAAGCTCTTATCGGAATTCAAGGCCGCGGCAGATCGGCTTCTCCTCAGCAACTCAATGTAAAGAGATAGTTCATCATTTCTATTTATGAATTCCTTTCTGATGTTTTTCACTTTTCATTTGCATCTTTTCATGTCTGGTTTTGGAACTTGTTATGTGATTATTTGGATGGGATGGGAAGTTTTGCAGGATGTTGAGCGTGCTGTTAAGGTTTTAGAAGATTTGCAAGGAGTGGTAAATCCTGTGAGTAATTTGTTGAGTTTTTTGTGCTATCATGTGTTTGTACAAAATTTTCTTCTCTTTAGCTAGGTTAGGGTTGAAGTAATATTCCTGCTCCCGAGGAATTTTTTTAGATAAAAACGAAGTCTGACGAAAAGATATTTCACTTTGACTGAGTCAAACTCTGGACACATACATATGTATATATATGTATATATATATATAATGTCATCTTGAAAAGAATTAGTTGATTCTCGGTAAAACTAGCTTGGAAAATTTTTCGTTACTGGACTAGGTAATTGTTAACTTATTAGTACAGGTTGAAAGCTCATATTCACGGTAATTATACTGTCCTGACACTTTGACTAACATATTACAATTTGGAAGCTAATTCAGTCAGTCAATTTTCTGTAATTTGCTTCAAGCATTTATTCTTGCTGTAGTTTCTATAGTCTTGTTGGATTCAGTTCTGTTGTTAATTGGTCCAGAAAATCCTGGTTTATAGCTTTTGCTTTTTCCTTTATTTTTAAAGCTTAAATAAGCGTTTTGTTTAGCTTCCTAAATTTATATGTGAAACATACACTAATTTCACTAATTGGAGTAGCTGTAACTGACCCTTCGATTTAACTTTATTGACACTTTAATTTAATTTTATCGGAGTCCCATTCGTCAGTAAGTTGCACAAGGAAAGATAATGCTCTTGCCTGAACATCTTATATATAATGCAGACAGACTCTAGTCTAATTGAGGGTAGGTGGCAACTGATGTTCACTACAAGACCAGGAACAGCATCTTCCATTCAGGTTAGCCACAACTAGACTTGTCAAGATATCGCTTTCTGTGATCAAAGATACCCTGTACAGAGAGCTCGTTAATATCTGAAACTGAAAGCAGCTAAAATTTTGCATAGATATACTTGGAAATTTCATTCCTTCGAATGATGCATCGTCATCTTTTATATCCATATAATTGCAGAGAACATTTGTGGGGGTGGACTTTTTTAGTGTATTTCAAGAAGTGTTCCTCCGAACGAATGATCCTCGAGTGTCTAACATTGTAAAGTTTTCCAATACTGTTGGTGAGCTGAAAGTAGAGGTAGGACTTCTTAAAATCATCTGTTTCTGACTTCTGTTGACTTCTTGTCACACTGTTGGTTTCAATTATGATTTGGTTATTTAATTTCATTCATCCTCTTGATCCAGGCAGCCGCATCAATTAAGGATGGGAAACGGATTCTTTTCCAATTTGATAGAGCATCGTTTTCTTTCAAATTTTTACCTTTTAAGGTTCCATATCCAGTGCCATTTAGGCTTCTTGGTGATGAGGCAAAGGGCTGGTTAGATACTACATATTTGTCCCCCTCAGGAAACCTACGAATCTCACGAGGAAATAAGGTAATTAAAATGGCACTTGTTATTTTCATTTAGGAACTTATCTTGATACAGGTTTACACAATAGGGAGCAAATCTTAAGCATACATATGTTTTCTTAAGATACAAAATAAATAATAAATTTGATAGTTTCTTACTTAAACCTTTTTTTAAAAAGTTCATCCAGATTCTGGTGTACATGCAATTCCCGTTGCCTTGCTATTTGATATCCAAAGGATACTTGCAATGTTTTGTAGTGCAGGGAACCACATTTGTGCTGCAAAAGGCAAGTGAACCAAGGCAAAGACTGTTGACAGCAATTTCGACAGGAGCAGGAGTTGAAGAGGTGAAACTTTGAAGTTAAAGCAATTGGTGTCCTCTTGCAAATTTTGCTTCTGTTGGATTATTCTTGACAAGCCATAATAAGTAATAATATTTATTTTGCAGGCAATTGGTGAGTTCATATCACTTCGAAGTGAAAGCGGCAATGAGGAACCAAAGCTATTAGAGGGAGAATGGCAGATGATATGGAGTTCACAGGTGATTTATTAATGATCATACTAACATCCACGTAGCCTATGTTTAAGCCATAAAAATACTTTATTTAGAATTCGAAAAAATCTATACTTAATTTAGTCAAAAGAAGCTAAGAAAATTTCCCAGAACTGAAATAACACATTCTAAAAGCAACCAAAATTGATGAAACTGAAAAAATGTAGTTTTAACTTTACGTTTCTCATGAAACTACTTTTTATAATTTTTCAAAATAGCTTCCTCGTCACTCCAATTAAATTGAATGTTAATTTCTGATTATAGCCTGAAAAAAAGAGGTTAAGGTGTAAGCTTATAAATCTAACATAAATGAATGTAAAATAATGAATGCAAATACCTAACATATTTCATCTCAACTGAATGAGTTAACCGTAACAGACAGAGACAGACAGTTGGATAGAGAATGCTGGTAATGGTCTTATGGGATTGCAGGTAAGTACATTTCTCATATACTATTACCAGAGAGTATATTTACACACACAGACACATAATCAGTCTGCCAAATTTCAAATATTTTGTGGGATAAAACTTACCTAGTTTCTCAGGGTTTCTCCAATTCACTTTGTTACTCTCTCAATTGTATCTGATTTAGATTGTCAAGGACAACGGACAGCTGAAGTTTGTAGTCAACATCTTACCAGGGATAAGATTCTCAATGATTGGCAAGTTTGTGTAAGTATCACATATTCCCTACGCACTCCAAAGCAATACTAATGGCTCGTTGATTCGATTACTCTTGCATGAATAACACCAGCAGAAATTTTTTGTTGCCCAATTTTATTGCAGTTTAAGTTATTTAGTTTCTTTTCCTTCTTAACAGTCCAGCATATTTTTTGAATTTTGCTGTTTTTTCTATGATTGTTATAGTTTTTAGAGCACGTGTTCTAAAAATGACCAAGAAAAAAAATTATAGAGTTATCACTTAGAAAATAATAACTCTATGTAAAACAACAAAAAAATAGAACAACTATATTATAAGAAAATAGCACATCGGTAACAATTTCAAACTGTGATTTATTTTTCTTAAATTTCCATAAAATGTACGAAAACGTAAGTTCACGTAACAAATAATTTGCAGGAAATCTGGAGCGACAACCTATGAGCTTACAATGGATGACGCAGCGATAATCGTGGGTCCATTCGGATACGAAATTGAAATGGAAACCAAGATTAAGCTGGAGCTTCTGTAAGTTTAATCATTTCATTAGTTTGTTTCGCACATGTTGTTGAGGAAGTCTGTCGGTACCTTGTTGAATATGGATGTTACATTGCGCAGGTACAGTGATGAGAAGATACGAATTAGTCGTGGCTATAATAATATCTTGTTTGTGCACCTACGGACAGATGGGTCAGGGAAATAGAAATCCAATCTTTTTTAAGCACTCTCTCTTCTTCTTTGGATGTATAATGTTGTAGCTAATGCTAAATGCGTTCTTGCTGTGAAGAGTACGGTCAAATTCACAAACTAATTTTAATGTGCGAACTATTTTAAACGATATATATATATATATATATATATTTTATTTAATTGGGATAGCGTTTAAAGAACACATGAATTTCCAAGTGACAGATTCCGTATTCTTTTTAACAAATTTTCAATAAATATATATATATTGAAATAATTTTCAATATATATATATATATAGTTGCATGTTATGTCATATTTATATCTTTAGTCCAACTTTGCACACAATACGAACTCTTTTAACATAGAAGGGAGCAGAAGCAGATAATTGTTATATATATATATATATATATTACTATATAAGGCCTTTTGTTAATTTTATATCACCTGAGTTGGGCCGTAATTGGGCCGTGTTTGGGCCTAATATATATTAATGGGCCGTGAGTTGGGCTGTGGGCTGAGTTGTGCCTTAGTTGGGCCGTGTTTTGGCTGTAAGTTGGGCCTGAGTTGGGCCGTGTTTGAGCCTAGTATACCTGAATGGGCCGAAAACTAATGTTTGGCCCAATTCGGTTCTAGTTATGAATCCAGTATATCCACAATAAACAGAACCTGGTTTCAACCAATCCTAGCCATCCACGTGTGTGAACAAGACGATTCCACGTTTATTAATACATTTATCACCTGAGTTGGGCCGTGTTGGGCCGAGTTTGGGCCGTGAGTTGGGTAGTGTTTGGGCCTAATATACCTGAATGGACCGATAACCAATATTTGGCCCAATTCGGTTCTAGGTATGAATCCAGTATGCGCAGTACAAACAGAATCTGGTTTCAACCAATCCTAGGAATGCACGTGTCCGAACAAGACGATTCCACGTGCACTGATACATAGATGTGGGAGTGTCCCCATTAACTGCCTATACCGCACACAAAACAACACCTCGCTTTAACAGGAAAATGAGAAAATATATCAACAGAGCAAAACTAAAAATCACTCTCATAGTCGTCTTCTTCTTCTTCGACAATGGCGCTTGAATTCAACAATGCAAACACGTTACCAATCCGTTTAATTCCAAAATCGCCATTAACGAGTTCCGGAATCTTTGCTTTTAGACATCAAAAGCTACGGAAAAAACCTTGTCGAAGTTGGTAAAGTCTCCACGCTCATTGCTCGTCTCTAGTCGGTGAGTAGCAAAAGGTTTCATTCGCGGAACCTGAAACTCAGCTCATCGGAGCTCTTATCCCGCGGCCGATCGACTTCTTCTCGGCAACTCAATGTAAATAAATATTTCATCATTTCTTTGTAGTGAATTCCTTTTTTATGATTTTCACTTTTCGTTTGTATCTTCTAATGTCTGGTTTTGGAACTTGTTATGTGGTTGTCTGGATCCGATGGGAAGTTTTTCAGGATGTTGAGCGTGCCGTTAAGGTTTTAGAAGATTTGCAAGGAATGGTAAATCCTGTGAGTAATTTTTTGAGTTTTTTGTGCTATCTTGTGTTTGTACAAGATTTCTTCTCTTTAGCTAGGTTACAGTGATAAATCCAGAAATCACGAAGGAAGCCAATCCAGAATCGCAGTATCTATGAGGAAAGCAGGAGCAACCACACCGGCAGACTCGGTCAAGCTTTCCATTTCTTCTAAACTTGTTGATCATGTTTATCTTTCCTTTCTGTTGCTTTCTTTCGGTTGTTTCCGATTTTATCCATATCACCTAGCCGTTATGCTTCCTGAATAGCAGGAAGAAGTTGCTGGAGATTGCCTATATAAGCTTCCGAGCTCATGAATAAAAGCAAGTCTCATTTGGTTTAAAATACTGAGGTAGTTCTAGCCTAAAATAGAAATTAAACACCATTTATCTGGTTGGTTATGACTGGGACCTATCATAGAGTTGAAGTAATATTCCTGCTCCCGAGGAATTTTTATAGATAAAAAAGAAGTCTGACGAAAAGATATTTCACTTTGACTGAGTCAAACTCTGGACACAAATACATATGTATATATATGTATATATATATAATGTCATCTTGAAAAGAATTAGTTGATTCTCGGTAAAACTAGCTTGGAAAATTTTTCGTTACTGGACTAGGTAATTGTTAACTTATTAGTACAGGTTGAAAGCTCATATTCACTGTAATTATACTGTCCTGACACTTTGACTAACATATTACAATTTGGAAGCTAATTCAGTCAGTCAATTTTCTGTAATTTGCTTCAAGCATTTATTCTTGCTGTAGTTTCTATAGTCTTGTTGGATTCAGTTCTGTTGTTAATTGGTCCAGAAAATCCTGGTCTATAGCTTTTGCTTTTTCCTTTATTTTTAAAGCTTAAATAAGCGTTTTGTTTAGCTTCCTAAATTTATATGTGAAACATACACTAATTTCACTAATTGGAGTAGCTGTAACTGACCCTTCGATTTAACTTTATTGACACTTCAATTTAATTTTATCGGAGTCCCATTCGTCAGTAAGTTGCACAAGGAAAGATAATGCTCTTACCTGAACGTCTCATATATAATGCCAGACAGACTCTACTCTAATTGAGGGTAGGTGGCAACTGATGTTCGCCACAAGGCCAGGAACAGCATTTCCAATTCAGGTTAGCCACCTTTGGACTTGTTCGCTTTCTGTGATCAAGATACCCTGTACAGAGACGTGTTCCTCCGAACAAATAATCCTCTGAGTGTCTAACATTGTGAAGTTTTCCGATACTATTGGTGAGCTGAAAGTAGAGGTAGAACTTCTTAAAATCAACTGTTTCTGACTTCTATTGACTTCTTGTCACACTGTTGGTTTCAATTATGATTTGGTTATTTAATTTCATCCTCTCGATCCAGGCAGCAGCATCAATTAAGGATGGGAAACGGATTCTTTTTCAATTTGATAGAGCAGCGTTTTCTTTCAAATTCTGACCGTTTAAGGTTCCATATCCAGTGCCATTCAGGCTTCTTGGTGATGAGGCTAAGGGCTGGTTAGATACTACATATTTGTCTCCCTCGGGAAACCTACGAATCTCATGAGGAAATAAGGTAATTAAAATGGCGAGTGTTTTTCATTTATGAATTTATCTCGATACATGTTTACACAAAGCCGGAGTAAAGCTTTTCTTTTTCATAACTTATTTTAATAAGAGTGCCAGCCAATATAAGCAACTAAGTGTAATAACAATAGAAAAACAAAGCAAATTAAGCATACATATGTTTTCCTAAGTGCAGAATAAATAATAAATTTGATAGTTTCTTACTAAAACTTATTTTAAAAAATTCATCCGGATTCTGGTGTACAGGCAATCCCAGTTGCCTTGCTATTTGATATCCAAAGGATAATTGCAATGTTTTGTAGTGCAGGGAACCACATTTGTGCTGCAAAAGGCAAGTGAACCAAGGCAAAGACTGTTGACAGCAATTTCGACAGGAGCAGGAGTTGAAGAGGTGACACTTTGAAGTTCCAGCAGATGGTGTCCTCTTGCAAAATTTGCTTTTGTTGAACCATTCTTGACATGCCATAATAAGTAATATGTATTTTGCAGGCAATTGGTGAGTTCATATCACTTCGAAGTGAAAGCGGCAATGAGGAACCAAAGCTACTAGAGGGAGAATGGCAGATGATATGGAGTTCACAGGTGATCTATTGATGATCATACTAGTGTCTACATTCTCCTAATGATCATAGTTTAAGCTCCGTAGCCTACGCTTAGAATAAATGCACCTCATTTTAGAGAATTTATTTGAACAATCTACACATAAATTAATCAAAAGAAGCGTAGAAAATTTCAAACAGAACTGCAATAAAACATTCTAAAATTAATCAAAATTAATTAAATTAAAAATTTGTAGTTTAATTTCTTGTTTACATTTCTCATTCGACTAATTTTATAAATTTTTAGCATAATTTCTTATTAAGGTGTAAGCTTATCAATTTAAGATAAATGAATATAGAATGATGAATGCAAAGACAGCATATTCCATCTAAACCGAGTGAGTTATTTGTTACAGACAGAGACGGATAGTTGGATAGAGAATACTGGTAATGGTCTTATGGGTTTGCAAGTAAGTACATTTCTCATATCTTATTACCAGAGAGTACATTTACGCACACAGACACATAAATAGCCAGCCATATATCAAATATTTTTGTGGGATAATAAAACTTACCTAGTTTCTCAAGGTTTCTCTAATTCACTTTCTCACTCCCTTAATCGTATCTGATTCAGATTGTCAAGAACAACGGACAGTTAAAGTTTGTAGTCAACATCTTACCAGGGCTACCATTCTCGATTGTTGGCAAGTTTGTGCAAGTACCACATCTTCCCTGTCCAAAGCAAATACTAATGAATAAGAACAGCAGAAATTTTCATAACCCAATTTTATTGCAATTCAAGTTAGTTTTTTCCCACTCTTAACGGCTCAGTCATATTGTTTGGCTTTGATGTTTTTTAAGGATTGTTATTAGTTTTTAGAGCATGTGTTCCGAAACTAACCAACTCAAAATTGAGGAAGAAATTATAAACTCATTACTGTAGATTAAATTATAACAAAAAACCACAATTGTAACAATGGATGACGCAGCGATCGTTGTGGGTTCATTCGGATACGAAATTCAAATGGAAACCAAGATTAAGCTGGAGCTTCTGCAAGTTTAATCATTCATTGGTTTGTTTTTGCACATGTTGTTGAGGAAGTCTGACGGTACCTTGTTGAATGTCAATGTTACATTGTGCAGGTACAGTGATGAGAAGATACGAATCAGTCGTGGCTATAGCAATATCTTGTTGGACAGATGGGTCAGGTAAATAGCAATCCAATCCATTAAGCGCTCTCTCATTTCTTCTTCTTTGGATGTGTAATGCTGTAACCATACTAAATGTGTTCTTGCTGTGAGAGTACGGTCGATTCACAAACTTATTTTAAATG